TGTGTAGAAAGTGGGCAGAAGACTGAAGATCATGGCCAAGAAGAGAAGATCACGGCCGAGATCATGGACTACGAAGTCAAGCAGAAAATCGCAACCTAGAAGCCCAAGATCGCTGCCAGGAATTGGAGGCCTCAGGGCGCAAACTTCGCGAAGAAGTAGCCGAGGAGAAACATGGAGTTTCCCTAGTCGAATCACGACCATAGTGTATTGTGACCACGAGGAAGATCGCGACCGCAAAGTCAGCCCGCGATCTCCTCAATCCTGAAGGCTAATACGACTGTGTTACAAGATCGCGGGCTCGCCATTGAAGATCACTGCCATAATCTCTGCCCTTCCGACCGAGAACTTCTCTGTCCCTTGATTGCCTATAAATAAAAGACCATTTTCCCTCTTTTGAGAGGTGTATTTTGAGAGAAGAATTTTTGGTTTTATAGAGAGAAGAAAGAAAAGCGGAAGGAAGGAGAAGAGGAGAAGAAGGAGCTAGAGGAGAGGAGGCATCTTTCTCAACATCAAGTCTTCTTACACCTCTTAAATTTATCTTCTTCTCTCCTTTATGGAGTATTCCTCTAAGGTACTAGGGGTTCTTAAACCCAAACCCTAGTTTTAGGGTTTACTATGTATGTATGGATATTGGACTACCACTACAGCGAGGAATTTTATTTCCTTGAAATTTCCCACAGGTGCAAAATTTCGCCCGGTTGCGGTCGTCAAAGTGCACTGTGAGTGTGTTTGACCCCGTCATGTTGAAATTGTTGGGAGGAGTCTGAACTACATAGATTCCTTTACGTCGATCAATCGTTGTCACGGAATGTCCAACTGCCTTTTGTGACCGCGGCTTCATCAGCTCTTCGCACTTGGTGGAGTACTGTGAAGGACCACTTCTAATTTCTGCTCCTGTCTCCAACCACATCTTATCGAATTTCTCCACCAATCTCCAATAGGTATGTTGCACAAGAGAAGTTATAGGAAGTGAACGAATACCTTTGAAAACACCATTGATGCTCTCTGCCATGTTGGATGTCATGATAGACCATCGACGCCCACCATTATAGTTATCATGCACTAAGCTCCAACAAATTTGATGTTGGTCCACCCAGTTATCACAAGAAATATTTCTATCAGCCGCCACCTTCTTAAATTGCTCAACTTGACGATCGAACTTCTCCAAGCATTTTTTCTCCGGCTAACAAAGTAAATATCCCCACGAGTTAGATAAAATCATGACAAAATTACATTAAAGTAAATAACAAAATTAAATAAAGAAGGCTTACCGACTCGAAATAGTTGCTTATACATGATTTTCGTTTAGTCTATCTTTGCTAGTTGCTTGCGTAGTGTCGCATGCACCACCTCCACTCCTAACCTCTTCCGATGTCACAAATGGCTTCATAGAGTCCCGCATGTCTATCCGAGATGATGCATACATCATTTCGATCGGTCAAACCTTGAACGTGATTTATGAACCATGGCCAACTTTATGTATTCTCGCTTTCCACGATGGCAAATGCTATTGGAAAAATCTTCTTCCGGCCATCAAATGAGCTCGCCATGAGTAGCACTCCTTTATACTTTCCAGTAAGAAATGTTCCATCAACAACCATGACTCCTGGACAATTCTTGAATCCATCTATACAAGGTCCATAAGCCCAGAATACTCGCTGAAAGATTCGAATGAAACACCCTAACCCAGTTAGGTACTACTTTTACCAAAATACCCTTGTTAACAGGTGAAATAAAATAAGGACGGGAAATACTTTGAAAATAGCGGAAACATTTCATAAATAACTTTAATAAATACTGAAAAAACTGTCATTACTTAAACTCGAAGCCCTGACACTTGGGCGAACTCAAACTTTAAAATTCTCAACCTGATCTCCAGTCTATACTCATAATCATAAAATGTAAATAACTAAGTTGTTTACTGAAGCTGCTACTAGGAAACTCTGACTGGGCATCCTCCAATACGCTCGTATCGTTCTCCTCTAGCTGGCTTCCCTTGAACTGTTTCTCTCGATCTTGCGGCTCTCTAACTGCTCCTCCTCTTCCTCTTCAAGCTAGCGAGTGAGTTGGGGTCAATCTGCTCCCTTACGTTTATTACTTTTAATATTTGAGCACTTTGCTTGAAACACTAACTTAAACTTATGGAAGTTGTTTGTACTTCCCCCTTTTAAACTTTAACTCTTGAAAATGTATCAGTTCTTCCTTTATCTTATTGTTGGGGCCCCTACCTCGACTTAGCTGGCGCCACTACTAGCCTTACTTACTTACTTTCTTACTTATTTACTTACTTAAACATGGCTACCCTCACAATGGGGTGCCCCTCACATGGGCTTGACCACCGCGGAACGAATCACCATCCAGTGTCAACCTACGACGTGACTATCGCGGAACGTATCACCATCTGGTAGCACACCTAAATCTAAGCAATGGAAACCGCGGAACTCAACACCGTCCGGCTCCAAGCCTGACCAACTACCGCGGAAAGTATCACCATCCGGTAGAGATCAACTACCGCGGAACTTATCACCTTCCGGTAGGGATCTGTCTAGCTAGGGACTAGCTAAGCGAGGTTACCTATCTTTACTCGTGACTTTGTCTTACTCTTAATGCCATAACTTATTAAACAATGAAGCATTAAAAATACTCATTCTTAAACTTCGTAAAAATATAAACTTAAATTCTTAAACGTACATATTGAAATGTTGAAAATAATAACTCAAGTCGAAGCATGCATAATCCACACAAGCATAAATCAAACAGTGCACACACACTTCACGTAAAGCAAATACTTAAACATGTAAGGCGTAGAATTTACCCCCTTTACACTCACCTGATTAAATCAAGTCGATCCAACTTTAAGTGACCATGAAAATGTCCACTTAAAACAAAGCTCCATCAATCCTTCCAGATAATCCCCTCCTGGAATGAATTCATGTGGTCTCTGTCAAAATTAATAACCATATGTCATGTCCAAAACCCATCCACGTAGATCGACCCGATGTGCTGCAATTCCACCCGGCTATTCCATGTCATTTCCATGCATTGTATTGTCCAAAATGCACCCTTCATCGAGCTTGCCGGTTGAACATATATCTCCCAGTTAAATTATGTAATGCCTCAATTATAACTACTACACCCACCAATTCCATGTCGAGCATATATTCATACCCTAACTTTTATTTTAACTCACTCTCCTCCAGGAACCCTTTCCAACTACCTTAATACCCTGATCGAAATCCCTTCCACAGTTCCAATTTGATTGTTCCCCTTAACCAGCTCTTGCCATGTTAACTATTGATAACAATAATCACCACAACCAAAATAGCTACTGAATGAAAGTATGAAACATTGACGTAGTCCTTACCACAAATTCTTCCTCTATATCCTAGTGGTTGCAAGCAAGATCCTCGCAGCCCACTAACACCAATCGTCTATGCAAGCGACGAACGAAATTACCCTCTCACCTTTCACTGGTCCCGGCATGAGAATGAGTCTGGCTAGCGGCTGCCCTCCACTTTCAACCACGCGATCAGATCGTCGAACCGGCTGCCGACCTCCCCTTTTCTTCTTCGCTTCGTCCCGCTCACCCTGTTCACCTCTCCTCTGGTCCGTCCTGTCATAAACCAGTTAGTCCCAATAACTCGAGTTGTTGGGAGAAGGTTATGCTGGATCTTATACCACTCGCTCGCCCTGTTCACCTCTCATCCTCTGATCCGTCCTGTCATAAACCAGTTAGTCCCAATAACTCGAGTTGTTGGGAGAAGGTTATGCTGGATCTTATACCACTCTCTAACACGCCCCCTCAAACGAAAGTCAACCCATGGGCTTGAAGTTTGCACAGGACCACCATACCATGTGCTTGAAAGACAATTGTTAATATTGGGGGTCGTGGAGATTCGAACACATGACCTTTCGGTTCTAGGCTCTGATACCATGTCATAAACCAATTAGTCCCAACAACTCGAGTTGTTGGGAGAATGTTATGCGGGATCTTATACCACTCTCTAACACGTCCTTTGTCTCTCTGCCTTCGTTCGTCGATTGGAAACAGGGGAAATCTTCTTTTCCCTGCCCTTCCATTATTGCCTTAAATCCCCATCCCCACGACGTTTGCTTTGCTGGGGAGAGGTTAATTCTCACCGACCCTCACTTAATTTTACGCAATTAAATCCCAATTAATTTCATTAATCCCCCAAGACCCCGGCCGTTACCTCTCAAAAAAGAGAATTTACCTGTCGATGCTCTGTTTCCCTACTGCCGGCCGAACTTCCCAGAGGAAACGATCCTCTTCGTCAGTCATCACTCGCCCGGCTCTTCCTTCTCAAGCAGGCCAGGGCCGAGCCTTCTTCTCCTTCTTCTTTCGCTTGGGCTCAAGCCCGATTCATCTCTTTCTCTCGTCCCCGGCTCAACCCATCACAAGTAGGCTTCGGCCCACTTCTCTCTTCCTTCCCTTCCTTTTTTTCTTCTCCTTGGGCCGCCAACCTGCAACCTCCACCTTCCCCTCAAACTCGGGTTTGGGCCAAAAGCCCAGACCCACTCACTTTTCTTCCACCTGCCAGCCCACGAACCCAGAACCAGACCCACTCGGCCCAGAGTTCTGATTGGGTCTTGGTTCGCACTTAAAAAAAATCAACCAACATCCATAACTTCATCGTTTTACATCGAAATTCGACACCGTTTGAACCGGTAGTTCACGTTTTGAAATCCTCATCAATACTTCGGTGGAAGTTGATGAATTAATCCAAGGGTAAAATAGTCATTTTGACTTTTAGAAAGAGTTGGGTGTAACATCGAATAACCTAGTTGAGCTGAAGGAACTCTTACCCAATCAATCACTAATGTTGGCATTTTTCTCTTTACCACCCGCAAGAATGTTCGCAAATAACCGTAGGATTCTTCCCAATTTCCATGCAACTTCTCCAATGCTCTTTGTTTCCCATACCAAGCCTTCTTGAAGTAACTTGCATATTAAATTTATCTTTCAACTAAGCCTACACAGTTAGAACACTCAAATTTGATTAGGCACGTACCAAATGTTTGACTGCCTCAGATATAATATCGACATCAAGATGGAGATGATCCGTCGGTTCAGTCCTACTGCTACAAGAATGCACCAACTCGGCCTTTCTCATAGTCCATTCGCTTCCAACATCTCGACATCCAAACCGCACCATCCAAGGACAATTGTCATCCTTGTGCCTCAAGCATCTGACCTTGCAGATTGAAGGTGACGACTCCACCACGCCATATTGAAAGTTGCGTTGTAGTGCGTGGTATATAATCGCCACCTGTGCAGCTTGTTTCGAGTGAAATATCTGCCCCTTCTAGAATTCTCCTTCAAAACTAGCAACAACAGGCATTGGAATTACGCCATATGAATCAGCATATGATAATTCATCGTCCTCTTCATTACCCTGCAAGTAAAAATATGGAGGATAATTAGGGTTCTCTCCTTCGCCATCTTCTTCCTCACCCTCCTCCTCTTCCGCATCATCCTCCTCTCCGTCAACATCGTCATGATCGGATAGCATGCTCCATGTATCTTCTTTCTCTCCATCCCGATTCTCACTAAGCACAACATGTATCACAGCACCCAAACAAAAAGGGTTTCGTGCCATAAAATCGAAAAGCACATTCAAACTATCATCATCCATAATAGGCATCGAATAATAAATAAAACACCATTATGCCATTCTGGAAGACGATAAGTGAAACCTGTGATAACATCACTATCTTGTACTGCTTCGTCTCTATGTCGTATTCTCGGAATTAGATTCTCACAAAGTTTGTGATATGTCACCCTGGATAGAACCGTCAATTGAAAACTACTACCACCAACGAATTCGACATCCAAATTATCCTCTACTTTCTTCCATTTCCACCGAACGACTAGTTCAAATCTTCTAAAATCACTACAAAAAAAAAACAAACTCACTAATTAACTAAAGAAAATCATAATAGCATTTGAATAATATAATTAAAAAATTAATGTGTCTCTTACCTATTAGCCATTTTTGCAACAGCAACCAGAGCTTCTCCTCCTCAAACTTCGTTGATTTTTTTTTTTTTTTTGTGGTGAACAACTGAAAAATTCGCTGGTTTTATAGGGGGGTAGCCAGCAATACGCCAGCGGACCCGCCAAAGTCCTGGCCGCCATCGCTAGGTACAATTTCCCACAACACAGCCTCAGTCTCAGGCGGTACTGCCTCAGTCTTTGGCGCCGCCGCTATAAACTTTAATTAAATAATCCAAAAAAGAGAAACGGCGGCGGCGCCTGAGTCTCAGGTAGTCTCGTTGGTTTTGCTCTCCAAAACACAATATATGTGTCAATACTTTTTAATCCGCCTTATTTGTGGTTAATTAAAAAAATAATATTTATGTAATTAACCCCAATGTATCCGTATATTTTTCTATGATGAATGTATTCATGTATTTGAAGAATAAATATATTAGAAAGTTATTTATTAAAGTTGAAATTGTTATTTATACAATTAAATGGTGTGAGCTTTATGTATTTGCGACAAATTAAAATAGAATCAGAATTATAAAATATTAAAATAGAATCACAATTATAAAAGTTGAAATAGAAGCAAAATTATTTGCTTCCAAAACCCATCTGTACGTTTCAATAAGTTATTTTACAAGCAAATTTAATTGCCTCCAAATCTACTTCAAAAGATATACAGAAACAAATAATTAACTTTTAGACGCAAATAACCTCTGCTTCTATATACAAGTTTTCTTGTAGTGACCCTAATCTCTCTATCTCTCGCCTCCCTTTAGGAATGGCAATGGGGCAGGTCTGGGGCGAGTATCTCGATACCCATACCCGCCCTATGGCAGGTCGGGTCCAGGTCGGGTAATTTATTACGGGGCGCGGGTCGGGGCAGGTCGACCCAATGGATATGTAATTTATGTCAAAAACATTAGAAATATTAGTTATTTTCATTAAAAGACCAAGAAAGAAACCATAATATGATAAAATCTAGTTAAATTATTGAAGAAATTGAGGTTTTCACTTAATTACCACTTTATTATAGCTAAATTATAATGTAATAAGAGGAGAATCCTAAGTAATTTGACTAAAATTATATGTAATTTAGGCAAGAACGGGTCGAGAATGGGGCGGGTCAGGGCAGGTCGGGTCGATGAGAGATACCCATGCCCGCCTCGCCCCGCTTACGGGGCGGGTCTGACCCGCCCCAAAACAAGCCAAACATGTCAGGTAAATCGGGTCAGGTCGAAATTGCCATCCCTACCTCCTTCTTCCAACCCTCCTTCCTCTCTCTCTCTCTCTCAAGCGGCTGTCGTCGCCCTGTTTCCCTTCTCACCATCATCTTCACTCATTTCTCATATCCCTTTCCACCATTTCTTCCCTAAGATCAACCACTCGTTGATTTCCTTTCCTATTCTCAATCCCTAGATAGAACCCGACTCGTGGGGTTCTATCAACCATATTTGCAAGAAAGAACCTCTGATGGGCAACTACCATATGCTCCAACCGTACATCGAAGACAACTTGATATCTAGGGGCCGATTCCTATTTTTTGTCTTTTTAAATATTTAGTATGCTTGATAAAATATGTGTTTGGGGTAGATTCGTTTTTATATTTTTGTTTAGGGATAACTCATTCTTCCTCTCTTGTGCGTGCACTTAAATGTTAATTCTCTAGATCAATGAAGACCTACACTTGTGTACCTTCACCAACCCACAACCCAACATATGGTAACCTTCATGATCTTCTCTTACGAAACTCCCACATTGAGGACAATGTGTTGCTCAAGTGTGTGTGTGTGTGTGTGTGGGGGGGGGGGGGGGGGGGTTGACTATTTGAATGATTATCATGATTGGTTGAACCATGAATTGCTAGTATCCTCACTTGTTTGTGAATGTAAGACGTTGATGAATGCGTATGTGAGAGTATGCTAGCAATTGTGTTTGTGTTGTGATGATCAATGGTAAAATGATAGTGTTTTGGAACCTTCAATGCATTACCCAATTTTTTTTCAAATTTGAGGGTTCCAAATAACCTTGTTACTTGCAACTCCATCCTCAATATGATTTGCTTTGTTAGATGATTGATGTGTTATGCTCGCCAGGTGATAGTTGCATGATTAGAGTACCGTTATGTGGTAATATTACTATCTTCTTCCTCTTATGTGAGTAGACAATATGTGTTATTTTAGGATGAACATGTGTGCGGTAATACTCTTTTGCTTTGTTTGATTTTTGAACTCGAAGTTTTTAAAGATTTTTGCGTATTAAAAAAGAAAGAAAAGAGAGAAAAATCTTTTGCAAATGAGGCTCACATGAGAGGCAACCAATCCTCACGGATTCATAGTGCCCTTTGAGGATATGCTTGGGGATCAAATAGCTTTATTGTGTCCCGACCATCTTTCACTACTTACCATCCCCCAAGCATCTTTCCTCCTCACGGAATCATATGCCAAGGTCCAAAGTACCTTTTAGCGATTCATAAGACCTCAAAGCTCTCGTTTGTACCCGACATGTGTGACAACCGATGTGGAGCGCAGACTGGGAAATGGTGCTCGGGCTAAGATGAATCTTCCCATCAACTTCCCCACATGTGACCTTGAAAGGGAAGACTATGGTTTATCCGCTCTTGGTCAATCAGGGAGAGATGCTAGTTTGCAAAATAATTGCAAAAGCTTGGTGCAATGCGCTTAAATGTTGAAAAAGGAGACAAATAAATGACAACTCCTGATCGTAAGAAAGAATGAAAAGCACCTTTAAGGGTTCTTGTGCTTGATTGTTGTTTGAGAATCCCCCGGGGCACACCTTGAATGTTCGGTCTAAGGTAGTAAGTATGATCCTCACCCAAGAGTTTGTGCTTGCACAGTAAGATGGTAGTAACGTTCATTCATCTCCGTCTACTCTTCTTTATGCAATGAAGAACTAAAGTGCATTCCATATTGGTTTGTGTATCATGTTGCATTAGGTTTGAGTAGGTTTGCTTGGGGACAAGAAAACACCTAAGTGCGATGGAGTTTGATAACACCTAAATTGGTGTTATTTACCCTTCATATTGAGGTTTGTTTCGTGTCAATTCATGTGCATAATTTCTTGAACATCGTCAATTGCATCCCGATTTTGTTCCTAATGCAATAATTGCGAATTAGGTACAAAACAAGGTCGCAAGTGTAGCAAGGGGGAAGAAGACTGAAGATCGTGGCCTAGAAGAGAAGATCACGGTCGAGAACATGGACCGCGAAGTCAAGCTGAAGGTCGCGGCCTAGAAGCACAAGATCGTGGCCGCGATAAATTGGAGGGCTCAGGGCGCGAACTTCGCGAAAAGCATAGAGTTCCCCTAGTCGAATCACGACCATAGTGTATTTTGACCGCGAGGAAGATCACGGCCGCTCCCGAAGGATCGCGACCGCGAAGTCAGCTCACGATCTCCTCAATCCCAAAGGCCAATATGACAGCGTTGCAAGATCGTGACCTCGCTATTAAAGATCCCGGCCGCGAACTTCTCCGTTCCTTGGTTGCCTATAAATAAAAGACGTCTTTCCCCCTTTTGAGAGAGCGGATTTTGAGAAATGAATTTTTGGTTTTAGAGATAGAGAAGAGAGAGAAGCTGAAGGAAGGAGAAGAGGAGAAGGAGCTAGAGGAGAGGAGGCATCTTTCTCAACATCAAGTCTTCTTCCACCTCTTCTATGTATCCTCTTCACTCCTTTATGAAGTAGTCTTCTAAGGTAGTAGGGGTTCTAAACCCCAAACCCTAGTTTTGGGGTTTACTATGTATGTATGGATATTCTAGTATTTGAATGAATGAATGAATGTGTTATCTAGTTGATTCTATTGCTATTCTATCATTTATTGTGTTTGGGTAAGTCGCCCTAATCTTCTTTATTAGCCTACTTTATGTTTCTATGCTGGGTATGGAGTTCTAGGGTTAGACGGGTATGTGCCATCAAACAAATTAAGGTAGATATATGAATAGGGATCTATGGTGGTCGAGGCGACCGAACCCCTACTATACGTAGCCTTCCTAGATAGAACACAGGATAAAACCTTGATGTGGACGGTGGATAGTATCCATTGAAAGGAGCTACGAGCTTAATGCCCTAGATAAGATATCCTAGATTGAGGTAAATTTATATGGGTCTAAGGGAGGCCTACTCGGAGGTGTGTGCATAACCACGAAAGCCCACATAAACGAGCTCACTCACCACATTCGATAAACCCTAAGTATCTAGACATTACATAGTAGCCCTAGGCTAGGGCGGGGGATAGTTCCCAGAAGTACCTGCTTTTAGCTTTATTCAATCTCTAAACTAGTAATTCGCTCAAATCCTCCACTCAAACATCCAAACTGATCGACTAAATAACAACAAGGTGGAAAGTAGGCTAGGGTATCCGGACCCGAGTAAAATACGACATTGATTGCCACTATTCGACAATGTCATCTTAGGTTAAACTTGGCCTAGGATAGGGGTAGTTTTTGACACATGCTAACCACTGACAAATTACATCTCGGATTTCCATCAGTCGGCCACCACGACATCTACCAAAGCACACAATTGATCGTCTTGGCGGTTAATAATATAAGCTCGGGTGTTAATTACGTGACCTTAACTATCAACTACAGAGAGGTTGAAGTTGAAACCATTAATGTTGAAAGCCATAGTGTTACTACCTAAATCTGAGACGTCGTGTCGGCTCACCGGTTTCACATTTCCTATCACAGCGCCTTCAAGTAGCTCGTGGCAGTACTACTAACCATTCCTCCACCTGAACCCTATATTGTCAAAGCAAATAGGGGTCGCGATATTGGATACATCTTATGGACAACTCAATTTTTTGACCTCCAAATTCTCTACAGCAACTCCATTAGCCTCATCAATCGTTTAGGCGAAGAATCTCATTCTATCAGCTGCCTGGATTTATATATAACAAACCAAAGCTTCTAACTTCTAGACCCCCCCCCCCCAATACAGGTTGAAGCCTTGAAGCTTCGAACAATTCCACGACTATCAAAAATAATGTTGAGCTCGAAAAGTTCAGTTTACAGGAATTTTTAATATGATTTTAGCTTTTAATGGCAGCTCAGACAA